TAATACTTGACTAACACGAGTTTCTTCTATAGATCTAATTTGATTTGAAATTAATGACTGATTAAAATCAATTAGAAGTTTGAATATTTAAGTATGATTCGAAGTATTTCCAATGAACTTGATATAACATAACGATCATAGTGTGGTAAACAAATATAACATACGATATTCACACTGTCAAATACTGATTAAAAGATGATATTCATTTATATCAATAGTTGTTGATTATTTTTTGATGATGATTGAAACTCTTAAATATTTAAATCAAAATAACCAATTATTAAATTTTGATATAATCAATTGAAATTATTATTTGAAAGAAAACATACTCATTCTAATTGTCATTAGAATACATGCTATAACCATACGATAATGAGATTAAAGGGTATGGGTGCCGTGAGTATGATTGCAAGCAAAGGTTATTATTTCTATACACAACTATCCATCCACACTCTGTTGGCAACAGTGGAAGCCATTATTGCCTAATAAGACATTGCCATTCTTCGTTCTTTTCTACTGCAGCTCAAGGCAAACGAAAAGAAAAACAACAGAAAAGAACAAAAACATGTTTAAATCCTATTTAGAAATTCTTTTTTTTTCTTTGCTGTTCTTCCTTGCCTCATGTTAAATGCATGTGCACAAATTTTACTTGTAATGTTTCGTTGGAAAAATTAAAAAAAAAACATGAATGCTCAAAATAAAAGGTCCTTGAATTCGATAGCGACCAGCAAAAAACAAGCCAAAGTGTAAACATTAAAACGAAGGTCTGGGTGTATGGGTGAAGAAAAAAACAACATCCACATCCAAATTACTTCAAATTCAATTAAAATCCAATTATTATAAATTAATTTAAAAATTTTAAATAAAAACATAGTATCAAATAATTAATATTAAGGAAGAATAATCATATTATTAGAAGCTTGAAATTAAAAATGAGTTATAACTATGTAGTAATAGTTGCCAGTTCATACGAATTTTCGTGTGAAAAAAAACAACTCGATTTTACAGGTATAGATAAAAAGAAAATTCATACTCACATTCATCAAGCGTGTTTATTATATATCTCACACGAACAAAATGCTATCATAGTTCATCATATTGATAGTTTTCAGATCGAAGAGTTAAAATTGATACAAATATAAAATATTCAACTCAGTATATACTAAATAATTTATTTTTTTCAGCAGATCGGAGCCGATTTGATGTTTGCTTTTTTTAAAATTGTTGTCATCTTTATTTACTAATTAATTGTAGAATTAATGAACTAAAAAATAAAATCAATATCGATGGAATCATCTTCTATGATAGATGTACACATTCTTTTTCCAGCAAAGAAATTCTAATACTGAATGAGATCGTTTGACCATATTTCTCCTTTTTTTCTGCTTTAACAACATACTGTGTTGTTCTTCCGTTTTTTTTAAATTTTCGTAAAAAAAATACTTCTGTTGCGTAGTGTATATGATATTTGAATATTTTTAAATGACTTATGGTGCTAGATGTCTATACTCTTTTCATCTACACCTTTCTATAGAACTGATTTTTGAAAGCTCTTTCAATTTCAAGCTTTTTCAGAATAGTGCTAATAGTATTTAGTCTCTAGATTTTCGGGACACAAAATAATTTCGAATCAATGGCTATGGAGAGAAATAGAATTAATATAATGTATTGAATAGTGTTGCATTGATTTTAATGAATTTTTATTGAAACAAACTCGAAAATATAGAGTAACAAAAAAACTCTTGATGAGATGTTTACACATTGAAAGAAATAAAAGAAAAAAAACGAACAAAAATGTAACATTACGTTTCTCTAGTAACCCTTTATTTACATATTCTCGTTTCAATTTGCCACTCACCATATAGATGAGAGAGCAAGAAGAAGAAAAAAAATTATTTGCCATTGAAGTTCTGTTACAATGATGCCGTTCTTTTTTCTTACTCTGCAATAAAAAATAAACAACATTTATGTCTTCACAATTGCTGTTAGGAGATACAAGCTTTTTCTGCTTCCTGTGTCTATACAATATGATTCACTTATTTTTATCCAGTTTGTTGTAGGGTGTGGATGTGGGTGTGAAGTGTTTTTCTTGACTATAGTTACACTCATACTCTCTGCGAGGCCAGGTATCTAATGTAATAACATTCAAGTTATTATACAGACGAAAAGTAAACAGAAAAGAAATGGAAAGAATAACTATAAAGTGAATTACGTTGTTATATTCTTTTTTTGGATTTTAATTTGTCATTGACAACCATATTTTGTGTTGAAACTACTTAGGTGAAATTTCTTCGTGAGTGTCAACGAAAAAAAAACAATAGTGCTCAAATGCAACATCGTAAAAAAGAATCTAGAAAAAAGAACATCACATGCACCAATCTTTCAATTAATATGTCGCAAAAAATACAATAATCATTCGAAGCTATCTCTTTTTTTTTCAACTTTTGCCTATCTCAACAATCAAAATATTGAATTACTGTTACAAATTATCAACAATTCTTCGTTTTATGCATTGATTTTTTTGATACATCTGATATTTTTGGTCACAGTTTTATTTAGAATTGCCTTCAAATCTTCAAAAGCTTTAATAGTTCCAATAGTATATGAGAGTCTTTTTCATTGAAAATAGTGATCATCCCTCATTTGAAAGTAAAGTTTGGTTGTAACTTCCCCATTTATGCTAGTAGAAGACTTTGCACTAGTATATCAATGGTACTTAGAACTCTTTGCTTAGAAACAATCATGAATCTCATTTCATAGCAACCTATTCTACATTATCAGTTTTTACACAATTATTCAAACAAAATTTGATGAACAGTATTGAATTGATTTTAATAAAGTTTTATTGTTTCGAATTCGTCGATATGATAAAAAGAAACGATTGATGAAACGCAATCACATTGAAAGAAACCGAAAAAAACCGATGACAACAATAATAAAACTACATTAGTGCATGTTTTTATTTTGGTGGTTTGTGCGTTGTTTTTATGCATTTTTCTTTAGTTTCAAAAACGATTGAAGTAGTTTTTATTCTTCATTAACGATATGCAACACAGAAGATATTCTGATGCAAGCAGAATAGATATTTTCTTTTAATGTGTTTGCTATCGATATGTATTTATTGTAAACATTCTCATAGTGATAAATGTATCTATGATACAGGATCTTTCTTGTTAATTATCATTGTGACACACACGTTCTACTTGTACGAGATCTCGAAAATGAAGAAATAGAAACAGGATAATTATCTATAAATATTTTAACATAAATTCTTTTTATTTTACATATATTTTGAATGAATATAATATAAATCAAAAACTACTACAACAAGATTGTTAATGATGATACAATGTGTAGTTGTGGATTTTGAGATAATTGAAGCGAAAAATCGACCCTCACACTCATACTGTGTACTGATGTTGTGCAAAAGAGGTACTTTAACATTCATTAATAGACATACAGTTTATTCTTAATAGCTTCGGTAATTTTGAGAAAATATATCTCGCTGGTGTTTAAATATAATGTTGTTTCAATTCAATATTGAAATTATTTTTCGTGCCGTTTTTTTTTGTGCCTCATCAACATATATGTCATAAGAAAAATGAAAAAAAAATATTTCAATCCATGATGTTTTCGTTGTTTCATGTTTTGTTTTCGCCGAAAAGAGAAAAAGACGAAGTATCCAACACATTATTGCTCAAACAATTCAATCGATGAAAAGTAAACGAAAGTTGGAAAGAAAAATAATGCCATTAGGTATGTTGTTGGCAACCATATATTCCATTGCAACGAGGTAGAGATTGCTTCAAGTGTCAACAAAACAAAAACAGACACTCAACATCGAATATATATAGAAAAGAGAAACTTTATCCAAATAGCAACTCATTATTCATTCTATTCAACTACTGATTCAAAAGGAAAATATAACGTCAAAAATGAGTCGACAACGACAGCGACGTATGGCCGAAAATTATTTGGTGATGTGGGTCGATGCGAATATCGATATGAAAAACGAAGATTGCCAGAACACAATGACGCAACTGCGTAGTGTTGTTAACGAAGTGAACCCATGTACCACGGCTGAAGAATGTATTGGTAAACTCCAGGAAAACAAAGAGGAGACATCATTTGTCATCTCCTCAGGTTCATTTGGCCAAGCACTTATACCCGAAATTCATGGCATGCCAAAATTAGATGCTATATATATCTTTTGTGGCAACAAGCAACGTCACCAAAAATGGGCTAAAAATTGGCCCAAAATTAAAGGTGTGCATACATCAATCAAGCACATCTGTGAAAAACTGGCAATGTCTATAAAACAATGTGATCAAAGCCAGGTAACTATTAGTATTATTAGTGCTAGTGAAGGAGGTTCTAGCGAAAATCTCAATCAGCTAGAGCCTTCCTTCATGTATACTCAAATATTCAAGGAAATACTCCTTGACATGGAACATGACCAAAAAACCATTAAAGACTTGGTCACCTTCTGCCAAGAACAATACAAGGACAATACCAAAGAACTGAAATTGATCGATGAATTTCAACGTACTTACCATCCAACATTGGCCTTATGGTGGTATACACGCCAATGCTTCACATACAAAATGCTCAATCGAGCATTACGAACACTCGACGGTGACATTATCATCCGAATGGGATTTTTCCTGTGTGATGTTCATCGACAAATTGAAGAATTACACAACCAACAGGTCAGTCAGTATCATGGGAAGTCCTTTTTAGTTTATAGGGGCCAAGGATTATTGACAAGCGACTTCGATAAACTTGCAAAAAACAAAGGTGGTCTCATATCTTTCAACAACTTTTTATCCACCAGTACAAAACGAGATGTTTCCCTCGGTTTCGCCAAAGATGCATTAGGAACAACCGATATAGTCGGCATCCTCTTTCAAATGACCATCGATCCCACAGTCTCATCGACTCCTTTTGCCTCCATCCAGGAGGTGAGTTATTACAAGGACGAAGAGGAAATTCTCTTCTCCATGCACACCGTTTTTCGAATTGATGAAGTTCGAAAACTTGATAAGAAAAGTCCACTTTATCAAGTGGACCTTAAACTTACGTCGGATGATGACCAACAACTTCGTCGATTAACCGACCGTATACGACAAGAAACATCGGGCAGCACTGGATGGGATCGAGTTGGTCAATTGCTGCTCAAAATTGGTCAATTTGACAAGGCCGAAGAATTATATACAGCACTACTAGGACAGGCATCCAACGACTGTGCTAAAGCATATATCTATCACCAGCTCGGATGGGTGAAACAAGGCCAAGGACAATACAAAGAAGCAGCTTCATTTTATGAAAAATCAATCGAAATCAATCGAAAAAGTCTCCCGGAAGATGATCCGACATTGGCTGCTATCTACAACAACATCGGTCAAGTGTATAAGGACATGGGTGACTACTCGAAAGCACTTAAATTTTACGAAAAATCACATCAAATTGTCGAAAAAGCTGTGTCTCCGAATCATCCCAATTTGGCTACTTCCTACAACAACATCGGTGGAGTGTATAACGACATGGGTGACTACTCGAAAGCACTTGAATTTTACGAAAAATCACTTAAAATAAGAGAAAAAGCTCTGCCTTCGAATCATCCAGATTTGGCTACTTCCTACAACAATATCGGTCAAGTGTATCTGGGCATGGGTGACTACTCGAAAGCACTTGAATTTTACGAAAAAGCACTTAAAATCAACGAAAAAGCTCTGCCTCCGAATCATCCCAATTTGGGTTATTCTTACAACAACATTGGTACTACATATTTCGGCAAGGGTGACTACTCGAAAGCACTCTCATTCTTAGAAAAGGCACTTTCTATCTTGCAAAAATCACTTCCGTCAACACATTCTCTAATTAAAGCAACGAAAGATAACATTGATCATGTTAAAAAGAAAATCTAAACGGTTGTTTTTGCTTGCTCAATAAATTCATTAACATTGATATTGATTTCGATTTTTCTCGGCTCATTTTGACTTACCCGCGCGCGTGCGACAAGGGAGAGATCCCTTGTCAATGCCATAGGTACCACAGGCGGACCACGCCGGACTGGTAGGGCAATGGCCGAAGGTATGCCGTATTAACGATAGGGACCAACGACACATAGAGGCCTTCCCTAGCACTACACTGCTTCGCTATGGCAAAGTTTCTCTACCTATTGAATCAGACAACGTAGTTCTCTGACCCACACTAATAACTCAACTCATCTCATCTCAAATAAACTCATACTCATAATAACAGATAGTATTTACTTTTTCTCAAAATAACTTATCTCAACTCAATTCAACTCAACAGAATATGTAAAAATTTTTTTTCTCACTTCTCAATATTGTATAGTATCGAAACTCATCTAAAAAAAAAGAAAAAAAACGTATTATTAAATATATAATGAATTTATTATTTACCTCATATAGAATTTAATAATATCATTATCATTGTAAATAATATCATAATAATAATAAATAATAATCCCAGGTATATAAATACATTGTAATGCATTATAATAATACAACTCGAGTGTATACTGTTTCATAATGATGTATTCATGGTTTTATATACCCTGAGATTAATTGACCGATGTTCAAAATTTTGATTGATTTTTTATCAATCATTCTACTTCTGTTTTAATTGATTTGATGATTTTTTTTCTCGTCTGACATACATCTATATCATGTCATCGTCGACGAAAAAAAATTTTCATGTTACATATATATAGGATGTTGTCTTTCTCCTTCACATTGCTCGTCTTCAAATAAGAATACAAGACAAGAGAATTCATCAACTCGAGTAAGGGGTCGAACACACTAGAAAAAGTGACTTAACTTAAGACAAATTTAAGCAACGTGATTGGTTAAGTCAGACTTAAGTCATCTCAAAAAGATGACTTAAGTCTGACTTAACCAATCACATTACTTAATTCAAACTTAAGTTAAGTCAGTTGTCTCTAGTGTGTTCGACCCCTAACTTAAAAAATAGGTGTGTTTTGTTTTTACAAAATGTGATCTTTATTTTAAGAATGTCTGAAATATGTACATGTCTAAATTATATAGAATCAGATAGAGTTTGTCTCTCTACTGAACAATATATTTTTTATTGAACGTCTTCATTATCTTCAATATATATGTATTTGAGAAATTTCTGAGAAATTTTCACGTATAGTTTTTCGACTTTTCTGTAAAGAAATGTTAGTTGTGCAAAAATTGAAATTTCTACACATTTAAGATTGATGAATTTCTTTCATTTCAAGTGATTTTCATCGTTATTGAATTTTATTTTCATTGGAATATAGTGCTTCTCAGGATTTATCTAATTTTTGTCCAAAATATATCAACTTGTACATAACAAACTATGAATGATGTGTATTCACTTATATTGTCATATTCATCGATATAGTAATGAATATATAAACAGCTATGAATTCATCACAAAATAGTCTCCTGATGATAGAATATATCATATTTGTACTCTTTAAATTTTTAAGATTCATCGATGAAAACAAAATTCATCATTATAAACATTTTGAATAAACAACTGTAATGTAAAAGTAATATTATTTCTAGATTTTTATACGAAACTGTATATCAGACAAAGTATTAGTACAAAAAAGAGGCATTTTTCGTTTAGATATAATGAATGTTATTGTCTTTATATGTTCCACTTTCTTAATTGAATTATTAATGAGTATTTTGACATTGTTGAATGAAAGAAGTAACTGTTTTTAGTTACCTGACAAAGTACTCTCTATGAAATAATGTGATTTAATTAGAATGAAATGAAGTATTTTCTAAGAGAGACAATAATGATAGCAGTAGAGCATTTAATGAATGTCTTCATGTATTTCTCATTATATTTCTCTTGTATAAAAATTATTCGACAGATACAACAATTTCATTTTGTTTTCAGTGTAGATATTTAAGTTTCTATAAAAAATTCGATATTGGTTTTTTATTAGAAAATGATTAAACTATAGTTGCTTGAGACATTGTATATTTTGTTTTTATTCAGATCTCCCATCATACAGTTGTTGGCGTATTCTGTATTTCGATTATAGGTGTAGAGTGAGGCGTTACATTAAAAAAAAATAGAAAACATGCTGAATAACTTATTGGAATATTTTCTCGTTAATGATAAATTCATATTCTGACGAATATTCGTTTTCTATGATTTTCTAAAGATAACTGATATTTTTATCGAGTATTTGTGAGATATAGAGTTTTATTGTGAGTTCATTAAAAAATATCTCAAAATTTTCATAAATAAAATTATGTATAGATTAATTATTTGAGTCTATAAAAGAAATCTCAGTAGTAATAATAAATAAATTAATGAATCACATTTTGTTTTCTCATTAGACATATATACATGGTTTTTTGTTATGCTTCAAAGTATAAGCGAATCTATGAGACATAGAAGAGATTTAAAGAAAATTGCAAATCTCTTTCGAGTAAATGATATCGTCCTTATAATTTTTATGAGAAATTTCTACTAATAAAAAAAGCTTTTAATAAAAGATTTTTTGTAAAGTTAAACAACGAATCTTTTGGTAAAATCCACAAATAGACGAATTCTGTGTCAGTATTTCAGTGAATGTTGTTTTAATATTAACCTCTTTATATATCTTGTTGAGTCTGACACTACACTGTTATTCTTCAACATGAACATAGACAATTGATTAGTAACAAAAATATCAGTTTGAATAAAAGATTCTAGTTGTTTTGCTTTTTACTTATGAAATAGGAACAATGTTTGACCTTTTTACTGTTAGAAAAGAATAATTGAGAAAGTTCGTTTACAGGAAAAAATACATTTCGATTAGAAATTTAAAACTTGTAATTTTTGTATAATTATGACCTGATAAATACTGTTAAAAGTTGTGCGTGTAAATTTTTTTTTTGAGAATGAATCGAATGAATCATTTATTGCTTTTGCTCGAAAGCAATCTTTTTACTTTTCTTCTTTATCTATATTTTGTTTTATTTAATATTTAATTGTAACACAGAAAATAACAGAGGGGTGTGAATCTGATGAGCTCTTCTTGTTAGCTCATACCTAAATGCTTTAAGGATTTAGTAGATGCGTTCATTGAATATTAAAAGATTTATCTCATTGAATTAGTTTTCTTTATTAGAATTTTGATAAAAATTAATAGACGAATCAATTGGATACATTAAATTTGTATCAATTAATACTATACAGTTTTTACCATTTATATAAGCCGAATCAATAGTAAAAAAAATAGAGTTGATGATTACGAAGATGATATAAAAATTCAATTATGTATTATAGAAAGTTTTTACGGAAGAATAATTTTAATTTAGACATATATATGTACTGATCTGTCATAAACTTCTCTTTTTGTATAGCTTCTATTGTACACATTTTCTCTGACGAAAATCACACAGCACATTTAATAATAAAATTCAATACTGTTATTTTTGTTTTTTTTTCTACTGTATAACAATCATATTTTGATTTACGTAATCTAATATATGAACACAAATGATGTTGTTGAACATTGAAATCAAGTTCAACACGCTCTTGAAATAAGTGTTTACGGAGATTATTGATATTGAAGTGAGGAACATATTTATACGTTCAATCTCACTCACTCATTATTCCTGAAAACACTCTACATTTTCATGGATCACATATTAATGTCATAAGTGTAGAGTGTTTGTGATATAAGTGCTAGAATAATGCATCAAAGGTATGAGATTCCTTCGAAACACTTCGAAAAAGACAAATTTTTAAATGATAAATCAATTACAAAAAATAGCTAAGAATTCATTCGAAAGGTTTTTGTTCCATAAAAGTCAAAAATAAATATATTGATAACTATTCTGATATGACATTGAAAATAATTCATCATTTTACATCATTGAAAAAACTATTTTTTGTTTCATCGAAATAGTTTCGTTATTGATCTGAATTAGATTTACTTCAATAAAAAATATAGTAATGTGTTGAAATTTTTTCAAATTCATATTACATATAGTTAGTTTTTGAAGAAATACCGATCAATTCCATCTTAATTTTCTACAACGAGAAAATATTTTTCGATTTTATCTTCTAATATTATTTATTGAAACATTTTTGAATAGAAACAATAGGATATTCTAGATTGTTTTTTCTCTGTAATCGATTTAGACACATTAAGTATATCAAATAGACCACAAAGTAAGACAGAATACAAGTAGCAATGAGTAAATTATGAGCTAAGGTGTAGATTGTTGGTGTCTATGAAAACAAGCTCATCTACACGCACATCTTCATTATTCTGTTGTCTTAATTTTTGGTTTGAAGGAAATTGATATACTAAACTTACATTATAATCTTTACTGAGTAGAGTTCAAGAACAAATGACAACATCAATGCAATTTTAATCATACAACTTTCAGCACCACTCAAAACTCCCTTACAAATATAACTCTAAAAACTCTATCTAGACGTGATATTCATTCTCTCTGAGTTTTTTTTCCTTTTAAATGCTTCACTCTTTGTTAAACTAGTCGTTATCTTTATTGTCAATAGAAAGCAAAATAAAAAGCAATTCATTACAAAAAAACTTAATAAATAATATCATGCTTTGCTTTCTTTTTATGATATCTAAGAGTTTCTCTTGTTCTCGCCTTATATTACCATAAGTGTTTGTATACATAGAAACAGGTCAATAGACATCATTGTTTGAAAATGTATGATGAATTTCTGTATTAGTAGGTTCATTTTTTAGTCAATTGAGAGTCTAATATCGTGCGAAGGCGATGAAAGCATAGGTAAAATGTTACTATTGATGTTCTTCTACTATTCTTGAGGTGTGGGTGTGGGTGTGGATGTAAGTGAAGAGAAGATAAACACCCACACTCTTATTTAATAGGACTTGAGGAACTATTGATACTCCCTATATAATAGAACTTGTGGACCTATGAGTATCTCCATGGGACACTTAAGGAGTCATAGATATCTAGCCTGTGATGCTCCTAAGGAATCCTGAAGATGATATGTGTAACTTTTCATGATGCTCAGCTCATAGAGCTAAACTATTTGGAAAGGTTCAGTTCGTTGAAAAGAACTGTTCAAATAGTTCAGTTTGTGATAGTGAGCGTTTTGAACAGTTCATCAGTTCTGAACTTGTTTTAGGTAACAAAGATCGAACACAAGTTTTCTTCTAACGTTATATTGATTTTATTTAAAATTTCATTTAATATTAATATTCAAATAAACAAAATCTAATTGATCTTTTCCATCTCTCGTCGTTTTTTTTCTTCTCTCTTCTAAAATTAAGTTTAACACATAAGATATACTTTATGGAAGAGAGAAAAAAACATAAGATTATTTTCTTTCCTGC